CCAAAGATTTTCTCGACCTCAGAGAAAAAACTCCAATTCTTATCTCATTTACTGCCCCTGTGTTTTAAAAGAAATATAATACGTTGCAGAAAATTATTTACCTGAAAGAATTTAATTATTTACCTAATTAAATTCTAGTGTGTTTTAATTCATTGATCAATTAAATCCACGTGTGTGTCTATCAGCTAACAGTCAGGAAATTCTGTACACTGAAGTTAAATTAAATGCTTAAGCAAGTTCAGTTAAATGTAGTGTAATATAGTGTAATAAAGTAATTAATTAGCCTTCTGATTATCAATGGAGTCAGATGTGTCATTTCTCCCTGCCACAGGGGTCACTTGCTTTTACTACAGGTGACAGTGCTGGGAAATATTATAAATAAATTATAGCAATAAATGCTCCAGTTGATCGCTGGCTCCTTGTGCCTCCACAGGAGATGAGACCTCATCCCAAACTGCTGCTCCCACAGCAACAAGAGAAGGAAATATCTCCTATTCTTCCCCATCTTTAGGCTCATGAAAACATTTCCTTCAGGCTTAAAGTGCATGTGGCAGAGCAGAGCTCTGCTATCACTCCATCAGGTATCTGCTCCTGCCCCAAAGTCTGTACCCACCTCCAAAACAGCCCCCACTTTCTTTGACTCACCCAAGCCAAAGGAGGTGTGAGAACAGCTGCATTTAGAACAGGAGAAGGGAGCACAGCCACCACTAAGCCTAAAAATCCTCTGAGTTTTAGAAGCAAAACTATGAAAGAGGTATTTGGGAACACAGTGCCACAATGACAGTGTGTGACACAATCCAGGGTTAAACTTGCTTTAGCACTTCAACCCTACTAGCATGAAGGTATAAATGAAAGAAAAAACCATAAAAGGCTTAACCAGAGGCCAGAGAAGAGTTTCTGCTACGAAGGTGTCATCAACCAAGGCACTTTTGGACAGATGGCTCCCATGAGTGCGAGGTCACAAGTGAGGAACAAGTGCAACACAAACCCCACTGAAGACCACAAACATCAGCTAAATAAATATGTTTTACAACTATTGCACAACAAGAAATGTCTCTGTTTCACATTTCCAACCAGAGGGATGTTGCCTTAGCTGGTATTTGTGTTAAAACCATAACAGGGGGAAGAAAAGGGAGGGAAAAGTGGTTTATAAATTTCTGCAGGTATTAACTTCACATTGTCTGTGGGGGCCTAAATAAACTATCAAAGATCCAACAGAATAAATCACAGCACTCTGCTGCTTTTCATACACATCAGCTGATTAAAGCATTGCATCTCTTCCTCTGCCAAAGGACTTTTTTCTGTGCCAAGCAGCTAAATGGGTACAGAAAGTGATGTGGTCACGTGCAGCCACACAGTGCACCAGGGCTGGACTGAGGGAATGAAGAGATCAGAGAGGAAATGCTCCAAAAATCCCCTAAATAAACCCCCACGGAGGGGAAGGCAGGGAAGCAAGTACTGCTCTGCAGACAAATGTTGGTTCTGAAGCATCTAAAGGCTGGAATGAATCCCTGAAGTTCAAATAGCTGCTGGGAGAGGACAGAGCGCTGCTGAGCTGCTCCACTTGCAGACTGAGCAATTTGCTTCCCTTAAAGCTCTCACCTTCCTGATTTTATGTTTCAGCTGTGGCTGTTCAGGGGAGGAAGGTGATAATAGCTGAGTGTTTATGTATTCCCACAACTTGCTGGGAAAATCCTTTCTCTGGACTCTTTCCACCTCGAGCTGCTGCCTGTGCTAAGCAAG